CGGGGCTTACGTACGGGCACGTGAAAATTATGGCGGGAAAATTCATAACTCGGGAATAAGAAAAGCCAGGAAGTTGAAACTTTGGAGGAATGTTCCCTGCTCATGTGCGACCAAAAGTTTTCAAACTCAGCTCCTTAGGACAGCGTGGAGCTCACGTATGGGCACGTGAAAATTTTTGGCGCGAAAATTACTAACTCGAGGACGCGAAAAGCTAGAAAGCTGAAATTTTAGGGGAATTTTTCCAACACTTGTCGACCAAAATCACATGTTCAGAAGGGCCCGGGACCCATGTGCGGGCACATGGAAATTTTGGCACGAAATTACTAATCCGGGAGCGAGAAGAACTAGAAAGCTGAAACTTTAAGGGAACGTTCCCCACTCATGTACGGGCAAAATTAGGTGTTTAGAAGCGCTCGGGCCCACGTACGAGCACATGGAAACTTTGGCGCGAAAATTGTTAACCTGGGAACAATAAAAGCTAGAAAGCTGAAACTTTAAAGGAATGTTCTTTACTCATGTATGAGCAAAATCAGGTTTTTAGGAGCGCCCGGGGCACACATACGGACGTGTGGGAATTTTGGCGCGAAAATTGCTAATCTGGGAACGGGAAAAGCTAGCAAGCTGAAACTTTACGGTAATGTTCCCTGCTCATGTGCAACTAAAATCAGGTGTTTAGAGGGTGCCCGGAGCCCAAGTGCGTGCACGCGGAAATTTTGGCGCGAAAATCACTAACCCACGTGCAAGAGAAGCTAGAAAGCTGAAACTTTAAGGGAGTGTTCCCCACTTATGTATGAGCAAAGCTAGGTGTTTAGAAACGCCCGGAGCCCACGTACGATCACGTGGAAATCTTGGCGCGAAAATCACTAATCCGGGAGCAAGAAGAACTAGAAAGCTGAAACATTATGGGAACGTTTCCCACTCATTTACGAGCAAAAGTAGATGTTTGGAAGCGTTCGGGGCCCACGTACGAGCACGCGGAAATTTTGGCTCGAAAATTACTAACCCGGGAGCGAGAAGAACCAGAAAGCTGAAACTTTAAGGGAATGTCCCCCACTCATGTACGAGCAAAATTAGAAGCGCCCGGGGCCTAAGTACGAGCACGTGGAAATTTTGGCGCGAAAATTATTAACCTGGGAACAATAAAAGCTAGAAAGCTGAAACTTTAAAGGAATGTTCCTTACTCATGTACGAGCAAAATCAGGTGTTTAGGAGCGCTCGGGGCACACGTACGGACGCGTGAAAATTCTAGCGCGAAAATTGCTAATCTGGGAACGGGAGAAGCTAGTAAGCTGAAACTTTACCGTAATGTTCCCTGCTCATGTGCGACCAAAATCAGGTGTTTAGAAGCACCTGGGGCCCACATACAGGCACATGGAGATTTTGGCGCGAAAATCACTAACTCGGGAACGGAAAAAGCTAGAAGGCTGAAACTTTAAGATAATGTTCCCTACTCACGTATGACCAAACC